TTTTTTTGTTCAAATAATGTTTTGATTGACAGCTGTCACATTTATAACAATTGACGTAATTGCTGATAAGCTACAAATTGTGAAACAATAGAAAAAAAAAAGTTTGCAAGTAAGTTTCAAAAACTTATGCAAATTAGTTTGGATAAATAGTTTCAAGATTAACAAAGTTTCTGCCACAACTAGTTGTCACATTGAAAACAAAATATGAGAGTTTATTTAACAATTCAAAGAACTTTTCAAATACTTTGAAAGTATCATTTATTGTGCGTACTACTTTTTCTTTACTTACTTTTTTTTGCAATTTTTTTGGTTAATTTGTTTAATTATCTTTGGTTATGATATTAATGACAAGCTGTCAAAAAATCAATCCTGATTACTCAATCAAAATTTTGAATCTGTGTGGTTTGCGCAAACGGAAGTTTATACGTGTATTTTGCAAAATTCGAATTGGACCGATCGTGAAATGTTAACCGGAATGTCACAACTGGATTCAGTTGACACGCACCAACCAGAGGCTTTTGCTTTCTTTGCGTTAGTAATGAAGCACCGACGCCTTTAATTGAGCTTGCGAAACGGAATGGTTAATTATTCAAATTCTCTCTCTCCCTATTGCTTTTAATTATGTCGTCTGTCTGACTTACATAAATTTCAAAATTCGTTTGAATTTATGCGGCGACTCGTGTCTCGCGTCTCGGATTATTATAGCTTTTGATGTGTATAGATATGTGTGTGTGTGCTGTTTAGCAATATCCATCCTACAACATGTTTATGCGTGCAGCAATCGTATTTATTGCGGCAAACTTCGTCCATTTGCCCCGTACACTAAACGGCTCTTTATTTCTTGACCAACTGAAATAATTGCGTATATTTACCTTTCAGAAACGTAAGAAAAGAAACAAGGATAATTGTAATAATACAAGACGTTAACAATGCGTGTCGCGTGTAAAAGGTGTTCAATATTAATAAACATATATTATATAGTGGTAATTTTATAAAACGAACATTTTTTGTATATGTAATATACAAAATTTCAGTTTTTCTTCAAAAAGTAATTAATTTTTAATTGATTATTTAATTTAAGTTATAATTAACAAGACATTCATTTCTTTTTAAAAAAATGTGTAAGTTTTGAAGAAAGGTTTGTTAATAAGATTAGCTAAAATAAGGTGTGGATTATGAGAATTGTAACAGTTTTCTACAAGATTTGGATGTACGTAAAAAGACATGAGCATCATGTAGATGGTTTATCTGTCCTTATATGAGAGAAACTCAGTTTTTTTTTTGGTTTTCTCCTTTACATAAGTTATTTTTTGCAACTTGTAACAACAATTACCATTAAAAAAAACGGCGATGCGTTTTCTTCTCTTGAAATGAAGAATAAACTATATTTAGAACATCGTCATATTTGTGGAGAATTTCATATTACAGATCAAGATTTTTGCCTTCGTTTTATTATTTCTTCTCTTTTTTTTTGTAAGCAGAAACGGACCGTTTGCAAATAACAGTACTTTGTCGAGAAAGTGTAGTAACGTGGTGTGGATGGTTTAGGTAAGGCGTTGATTATGGGAATCGTGCGTGGATTCTACTAAGTACAAATAACTTTGTGGATTTTGCTAGAAGATTGTAATCTTAACGTTAACAAATTTCTATATGATATACATAATTTTTGTAAGAAAAAAATTGTAAATTATTTGACTAAATATGATTGTAATCTTAAAATTACCAAATTGTTCCAGAAAATACAAATTTCTGTAGAAAATAGTTAATTTTTGTAAAAAAAAAAAAACTAAATGGTAAACTTTTTACTTAATATCAAGTTTAATTTGCAAAAGGAAAAAAATAATGAGGAAAAACTTTGAACGTCGGAAAACATAATTATTTCTCTTAAGAGAAAGTACAAGTTGTCTTCTACAGTACAGGTGTTTAGTATATAAATGGGTTTAAGAGTTTTTTTTTTAGCTGAAGATTTATGGGTTTACCTGATTTCAAGAGAATCTAAATAAGTGGAATTGTCTGAAAGTGAAGTAAGTTATAGAAATGTAAGAGAATTAAGAAATTTTACATGCACTAATTAATGTATGTTTCTAAGAATAAAATATAGAAAAAGAAATGATATTTTTAATGAACAATGTTAAATAAAGAAGAAGTAAAAAATTTAAGTATAAAAAGTTTTTTTGTTTAAAGGAATAAGAAAGAAGAAAATTTAATAAGTAATAATAGATATAGTATATAGAAATGTTAAGTATTTAGACAATTATGTAAAAAGTAAAGAACATTCTTAAATTTATAAATAAAAAAGTTTTTTTTTTTTCTAGAAGATTTAAATTAATCGATGTATTAATGTCACAGGAAATGTAAGATTACAAGACTTGAATTAATCAATTAATTAATTATTAAATAATTTGTAAATAAAAAAATCATAATTTTATATCATTTTTAAAATATGAATTTTTTGAATGATTTTATGTTGTTTTCTAGTTAATTGAATATAAAACATTTTGGAAGTAAATGTGCAAGAGAAGAAAGTTTAAAAAAAAAGTGTAGTAATAAGAAGAAAGTAGAAGAAGTAAATTTAAAGAAAAATGTATTGGAAATGGATAAATATAAAGTAAATAAACAATTTCACTGTTTTTAATTACTTTTTTTTATTAGAAAATATGAACTATTAGAAAGAAAAGTGTTAAAAATAAGAAAGACTAATTAAATTTTTGTTTGATTTTAGTTTGCAAGAGATTTATTAATGAATGTGTAAGGGAAGCTTAAATGATTGTAATGTGAAGTACTTACTGAAAGGGCCTGGATAATATAATTTCGTACGTTTGACGAAGAGATTGAATATATAAGACTTAAATGTAAAATATAGGATTAAGAATAAACAGGTTGGGATAAGGAATAATTTCTTTGATGCGGTGGCTGCAAGGAGATAAATGGAAAACTCCTCGTGATAAACATGATTTCTGAATTAGCGTCGCGTATTTTCCGCGATTAACAAATTGCATGTTGCTGATAACACGTGAAGCGTGCATCGGATTTTTGCGGCCGCAAGTAAATGGAATTGGTTGGTCGGTCTCCATCCTAAACGGCAATTTCATATCAAGCTATATAACGGAATTAATACCAAATTTGTTATTCAAATTGCTGTGCCTCTCTCGAAGGCAATGCATGCTGCTTCTGCTGCTACTCGGAAATGATAATAATAAATCCTCGACTTATGCAATGCAAAGCAGGCTACGAGGATGGGGTTAGGTGAGGTTGTTGATAAGCGCGGGATCGACGGTGCGTATGGGATATGATGATGATGATGACGACTACGAAGACTACGATGGGAGCTCGCGTTTTTCCCAATAAAACTAGTTATTGATGGCGGTCAAGCATTGAACTGGACTTGGGAACGGATGCGATCGGCCGTTCACAATCCGTCCCATTCGCGCGAACGCATCGCATCGCCAACTACTTACTCTTTGCTCTCCTTCCTCCTCTTCCTCCATCCGATGGACAAACACAGACACACATCATCATCCTTTTCTACTACACTTTTCATCATCATCATCATCGTCTACTTCATCTCCCTCCTCCTTTTATCGGCGACAATTATTATTATTGCCTCTCATACCAACAAATAATTTTCTTTTTCATCGAAACTCCACGACTCTCGCTTATTTTTCGCATCCATAAACGGTGGCTTCAGCTCTTCTGCTCCATCGGCTTCATCGGCGGCGGCTCTGAACGACCGCGCATCCAATTAAATGGAAATAAATCAAATTGCACCGACTTTACTTCAGCATTCTATATTTGACGAACGACGCAAATAGTGACCATAAATCCATTCCCAGATGCATTTCCATCATTATCATTAAGAAATTAATTTCACTCGTTCAAATACTTCTGAGATCGACCACAAAACGAAAACCAAACTAAAAAAAAACACCCAACAAACACGCTTCCTCCTAGCATTGTGTTTAATCGTTTTACCTCAATCCCATTTCGCTTCGCCTTTTGCTCGCTTTTAATTAATTTGCAAAATTCAATTAAATCTAATTTCGTCGACTGCAATCGTCTCTAATTTTACCTATGCCAACACTTTAATTGATATCATTATACGTTTTAATCAGTGCTTTATTGCAACGAATCGCATTTAAATATTAAATACCAGCATCTCATGGAGATTACTCATTACACTCAAACGATCCGAATGACCGCATTAACAAAGATGTTTTACAATAATTATCTGCAATTTTCAATTTGTTTCATTAACTTTTATAAATTGATTAATTATTAATAAATTAAAAAAAAATACAATATATTCATTACCTTTTAATAAGTCCAGATTTATACATTATATATAAAATTAAACTTGCTTTGTGCTATTATAAGACAGTGAATTTTAGATTTGAAATAGGATTGGGAAAGAAGGTTGTGGTTTTTGATTCATCCAATATTATTATTTTTATTAGCAAATCTTTATTGGTCCATTTCAAACCATTTTTTGCCAAATTTGGAGTATTTATAAATGTATACTGAAAGAGATTTGAGTGATGAAGAAAATCAAAAGGGTTGTGTGTAATTTAAAAAAAATATAGATTTATTAAATAATTGATTAATTTTTTGTTTTTTTTTTTTTTATACAGGAGAATATTCCATTGGAAAATAATAGGTGTTAGGTGTATGAATACAATCAAATAAGAAATAATAATAATTTTGTTAGGTGTGCTTCGTTTGTAACAATCATTTTTTTGTTGTTGTTGTAAATTAATTTTAGAAGAATCGTGGAAGGCAGACGCGGCTGTGTTGCGGTGTGTGAATTGATTTCACTGCGAGCAAAACCGCGCCTCTATCTAGTATCATAATTATTATCTTAAGAATTAACTGAATATCACAAAAATTTCGAGTGGAATTTTATACATTATACATTGCTGACGGATCCGTAGTTGTGTATATATATCTATTTATATTTATATATTTATATATATACATAATTCAATAATTTTATTTTTCTTGCTTAATTTACTTTTGTTTTTTTTTTCATTTCTTGTATATACGTCTCTGTTTTTTTTTTTATTTAGTTACCTTAATCAGGTGTTGTTGCTATTTTCGCTCTCGTGCGTGGCGTTCCTGTCCTCCTTGTTCTCGTGGTTGTTGTTGTCCGGATCGTCCTTGGCGGAGGTGTCGGAGGCGGTGCTGGATCGCGAGGAGAAATTGTCTTTGTCGGAGAAGTAGGAAGAGTCGCGCTGCTTCACGTGCAGGTCGTCGGTCTTGGCGGGATCGAAGAGGTTCTTGGGCGGAAGGAAGTTCTTGTTGGGCTGCAGATGCTGAAGGAGACGTCCCTCGGTCACCTTTCCCATGAACGATCGGATCTCCTCGAAGTAGGACTCCTCGGAGAGGTTCCTGGTGAGGTTGCGGCGTTGCAGCGTACGCTCGTCGAGGATTGTCGGTCCATCGGCTTCGTGCTTCTTCAGATGCCTGTCCAGATTCGTCTGCTGTCCGAAGCATCGTTCGCACAGCGGACACTTGAACGGTTTCTCCTTGTTGTGTATGTTGCGGACGTGACGCTGCAGGTTGGAGCTGATGGAGAAGCTGCGTTCGCAGTACCTGCATTTGTAGGGTTGCTCCCCGGTGTGGGTGCGTAGGTGACGGGTCAGGTTTGCTGAACGCGGGAACACTTTTCCGCAGAACTTGCAGGCGTAACGATCCTTGACTTTCCCGGTGGTCTCCGGGAAGGATTTGGCTGGTGCCGGCTGCGGTGCAGGATTGCGTAGCATGTCGAAAGGAACTTGATTGACTGGGGGAGAGAGCATCGTCGGGCTTAAGAACGGGTAGCGCTGAGGGTAGGTCGGAGAATGTGGGTACGCAAGTGGGAGTCGCACCTTCTCGTTCTGCGCTCTGTACATGGCTTCCAGCATCATCGGATGGATCTGCTGGGGTGGGAAGAGCACCGGGTAATTGGGGAGCTGCGGCGGGAATTTGCTTGCTACCATTGCAGGACTCGTACGCTCCTCGGACGGCTCTTTGCCTTCGCTGCCGACGCTCGCTGCAGGAGATATCAAATTCCTGTTCTCGTCCTCCATCTGCCGCCGCATTATCCTCAGCTTCTTGTGGTCCACTCTGAGATCCAGCGGCTGCTCCTCGGATTCCTGAGCTGGTCGTCCTGCTGGAGACATGTGCGGTCCCGGGGACCTCGTGTTCCTGGACAGGTCGAAGGGGCCGTCATCTCCTGGCGGCGCTCGATCCGATACAGGATAGACGGCTGCTTGCTTCGGTGAACTGTGACCGGTGGTTGCCACCAGCATCTTCCTCGGAGAGGAATCTTTTTCGCGCATCGTCAACGGCAAACTCAGCGGAGGCAGGTAGCGGAGCCACGGCAAACCAGGATCCACTACACTCATCGATGCTCACAGAAAAACCTGAAAATATAATTACATCATTAATACAGACAATTAAGAAACAAACATTTTAAGGTAAAAGAAATTTTATTTATGAATATGCAAGAAGAAGGATAATTTCATATGAATTTCTAAAAGTTCCATTTCTTTCGCTTCGTTTTTATTTTATTTTTTTTTTGTGCAAATTTATAGGAAACTCATTACATAAGCAATTGATTTTGGCGCCCCGGGGGCACCGCGAGTCTAGATGAACTGGAAGAGATTAAGACCCTCGAATCAAGTCGAGCGGATCAGGCGCGGTTTACGTAAGCCAATTAGCCTTTTGGAAATGTCAAATTTTTGGAGTGTGTGTGTGCGAGATGCAAGCAAAGGCTTTACTGCAAAGACGAAGATTTTGTTGTTTGTCAATGAATTCGAGGATGCCGGGGTGCGGTTAATTACGCGGAACAAACCCGAAACGGGACATCTAAAGATCCTCCCAGCAGACCCATTACTTCTGCTCGATTGCATACAGCGACACCCACTCTAATGGCTGTAGCGTTCGACTCGACTGCATCAAGGGTTCATCAAATCTGCACTAATTGACATTGATGCCTTACGAAGACTGCAGAAGAAGAAGAAGAAAAAAAGGGAGAGGAAGAAATGGATGTGCGCTGTAAATCTATGTGAGGAAGGATCGGGGATGGATCTAGTTTTAACCGCCCGAGTCTGCCTTTTTTTGGTATACATAGACATAGAACATGGAACACGAGGAAGTTGTCATTACGTGTATGGATGTATAAATATTGTTCTGTCAAGAGAACCCACACCCATATTCTTGTGCTGCCGGCATCGGCATCGCATCGCGCGCTCTCAGCTCTTCGGGCCCAACCAACAACAATCGTGACTCCAATAGACCTACATAGACAAATTGTCCGAGTCCGAGAGCTCGGAACGCACGTACTCTCTCAGATCCGTAGATAATATGCTAAATACTACCAAACACGATAATAGGAGACGGAGCTGCTGCTGCTGCTGCCGTTATTATAAAAAGAACGATAAAAACGAAGAGACGGCCAATCCGGCGACTCTTCCATCTATACTCTTCCCTTTTTATTTTTGCACAAAACCCAACCTCTCTTTCTCTCCCCCACCTGAGCTTTCACCATCTACCCGATATCCCCACATCTGCTTCATCGTCGTCCTCTCCTTCAAAAACTTTTCACTCCATCCTGAATTGCATTATGAATGCATGAACCTTCCATTCAATGATCTCCATAAATAAACATCTCTAATCCACAATGGTCCATATTCCGTAACGCATTCATCCGCATCTCCTCCTCCTTCTAACTCTCCAACTTAGATACACCATCACCATACAAATACCAAAATAAAAATGATATCTGACACGCATCAAATCTTATCTCAACCTCTTTATTTCTCAACTCATCATTTTAAAAACCATCAATTTCAATCTAAATTTTATTCAAATTTCAATTTATTCCAAATCACCAACTTTTAACATAATCAAATGAAGTTCTATAACAAATAGAAAGAAATCCATATCTACATATGCTACATTTTTAATAAAATTGTGCTAATCTGAAACTTTTAATTTGCTTAAAAACAGATCTAATTTAACTATTTTTCGTTATTGGATTAATAGAAGGTGAGGAAATTAGAAAGAAAACTAAGTTTATATTTTGACTTATTGGATGTTGCGTAACGCGAAGAAATGTGTTTTTAATTATCGACGTGCGGGCGCGCGTAAATTGGAGGAAATCGAGTTTCTCTCTTCGCATATAACGAATTGAAACGTATGCACCACGAAAATATCCTTAATTATATTATAATTACGAGGAAGGCTCTTTGCGGCGATGATTTAATTAGAGTTCGTTAGTGGGTCACGACACGAACCGGAGCATACACTGCCTTCGCATACGATCCTCAATAGGTCTCGTTAATTAGTACAAATCGCTTCATTAGTGGCTAAAAGTAAAGCGAGGTGATTTAGAAGAACATTTCTTCAGGCTCGAGTCTCTCTCCTCAGATAAGATTAGCTCTGAGTGAGATATCGCTTTCAAAGCGATGTATACTCAACGTTATAACATTCAATTTCTTAAATAATTCTTAAATAATAAATTCAGTTGCAAATAAATTATGTACAGAACACATACAGAATTTGTGTCAACTAAAGAAGTAAGTTTCCTGCTTTCGAAAATTCAGCTACGATTTAATAATAAGCTCGAGGAAATTGGCTCTGTTGTTTATGGTAATTTGCGGTGCATTAAGTGTGAGCTTTGTGGTAATTAACAATTTCAATTTCCTTTGGAAAATTATTCCAAAAAAAAAAATATGTAAGTAATCCATCTAATCTCGAAGAGAGAGAAACAACGATTTCGAGCACGCTTCAATTCCAATTTAGTTTCTAAACGATAATTCCAATTGATATTGTTCTTTTTTATTTCAATTTTATGATTGTGGTTTCACGCTTATTAAAGATTCTTCTTTGTCATGATGCATCAACTTATATATATATATTGTGCATATACGAGCGGCGGTGAAGATTGAAGCGTTTCGCGAAAGTTTTAGTGCCGTCCGTGGCTCCGGGGGTCTTGGACATTAGCAATTATCCGCATCCATAATCTAATTTGTTGGTAGTCGGTACGAAACACATTCCGTGAGTGATTAGATGCGGGTCCGTTCGTAACGTACTCGTTCCATCTCTTTCGGATGCTCTACGAACGTCCATGTGTGCCATCCGTGGTCACGTCTTAGCGTGTAATTAATGCAGAAGACGTCCGGTTGTTGCGGGCATCCATCAAGCCCAGCTACCGCTCGAGATCCACCGTAACGGAGAGATCTGTAGGGATTTCTGAGCCAACAGCTCGAAAAGATTGTAATTAGAGGAACACTGTTTAAGATCAGCTTCTGCCACCGGCTTCCAACTACTCAACATATAAAACTACTCAACATAACACATTCTTTTTCAACGTAAATTCAATAGAATAGAACATTTTTTAATCGTTATTAACAATCTGACATTTATTGAATCAATTTATTATCAAATTAAGAATATAAACTTTAATTTATTTAAACAAAACATTTGGATATTTAGCCTTCAATTAACACCTCTTAATCCGCGTAAATTCTTAACTATTTCGTAGAAAACAAATGCAAACATCGTAAATTACATTAATTAGTGTAATTAATTGTAACCGTGACGAATTACATCATTCTAAAAACTAATGAGTATTAAAACTATTACAGTAAACAAAATCTCAAAATTCAGTTATTTAAAATTAATAATAATTATTTATAAAATAATTCAATTGAAATTGAAATGATGCAAAACTGATAATTATATTTATTTATTTATTTACTTACAATCTAATTATTACCTGTTCAATAAGATGAAAGATATAAATTATATCTGATTATATAGAATTCGATCATCTGGAATTTGCTTTAATTGAATGTGAGTTTCAAGAATTACTCAGCCATATTAACTCAAAGGAATTCACTTTTACTTCGATTCTTCTAATTCCATTTAAAACGATCTAGTCAGTAATTGATTAAACGCAATTCATTTATTTCTTTATATTTTTTAACTCTCTTAATTTAATTAATTTATTTGATATTTTTAAGAATTATTTTTAAAACTTTTTGAATTCTCTAATTTATTTATATTTAGTAAAATAATTTGATTACTTTATTAATCAATTTTCAATTTGTATTCAAATTTTAGAAATTGTTATTAGATTTGTATGTATAAAAAAATCAAAATTTCTAGAAGAAATTAAATTTTCAAATTTGAAAGAAGTAATGAAAAATAAGTTTTCAACTTTAATTTCAACTGAGAAAACATGGATTTGGTATTGGCAATTGTATTATTAAAAGTAAAAGCTCGGATAATATGAATGGAATGCAATTATTATGGAATGTTATAACAGTAAATTGCAAATACTTGTTTCTAGAGCAAAATGATTCGCTTTTCTAATTTACTTAATGTTTGATTGTGAATAAATATAGAGCTTTGATTAAAAATTACTCATAGATGTTTGTTCTAAATTGACTCACATTTTTCTTAATTTTTTTCTTCTAAATAAGTTCAATTTTTTATTGGAAAACTTGATTTTTATGATGTGATTGAACATATTTATGAGTGATGTTTAATGAAAAAATTGTTTAGATATTGACTTATGCAATTGTATTATCTTTATTTCTTCTTCTAAATTAACTGAAAAATAGTTAATTCTTTTTATTGCAAGACTTGATTTTTATGATGTAAATGTCATGTGATTGAACAAATTTATGAGTGATGTTTAATGAAAGAATTGTTTAGATATTGACTTATGCAATTGTATTATCTTTATTTCTTCTTCTAAATTAACTGAAAATTAGTTCATTCTTTTTATTGCAAGACTTGATTTTTATGGTGTAAATGTAATTTGTTTTTGTAGTTAAAGAAGGATAATGATGTGTGATGTTGTTTTTATATTAGGAGATGTGTGATGTTTAAAGAAAGGATTGTTTAGGTGAAATCGTTGCATCAGCAAGCAAACACCTTTTTCCAGAGCTCCAGTTTTTGCCGCCTTCTATCGTGTCATGCCGCTGCGTCCGCTTAATTTGAGCTGTATTTTTAATGTTTCCTCGTTTCAGCACTGTTTAAGTGTCAACTTAATACAGTCGTTACTTTCCGTGCACTAAATAAATGATCTGCAGTTGCCACATAGTAAGTAGCAGTGGTCGTAGGCAAGTACAGAAACAGCATCAGAAACGAGAGCCGACGCAGCCGGCCACTTTTGCAAAACGATATTTGCATCAATTTGCAATAATTATTTGTCACTTTCTAAACGCTTTTTGCACGGTCGCTGCGACTGCTAATTATTTTGCGATCCCTCTGTTCGAGTTTTCCTTCTTCTTTCTCGTCACTTCTTTCTTTCATTCATTATCTTTCCCGCTCGGCGATCATTTTCTTCGCTCTGAAAACTAAAACTGATCCGAACTAAAACTCCCTTTTGCGGTTCCGAGCGCATTTT